TCTGCTTTTCCGGCCCGACCACACCACCCTCCTCTGTGTTTCCTTTTCTTCAAACCTTTTCTCGTCGCAACACTGTTTCTCGGACTGGCACTGTTTTCCAGCGACCGTTCCCGTGACAGTCCTCCCCCTTTCTTGGTCCTGTGGTTTGTTGTGTGTGTTTCAGGTAGCACTTTTGGTGGCTGTTTGGTGACGGGCGGGAGGTGCACGGGCAAGCGTAGCAGAGCAGGCCATTTGGCAGTCACAAAGGGCTGGACGTCGGGTTGCAAAGCACCCAGGTTATATTTGCGGGAATTGTTGTGGCTGCCCAGGCAAGCGCGAGGCATACGGGAGAGTAGAGCGGAGCATCACCGGGTGCATCAATTCATATTTCCAGGTTCTTTCCATCGGGAGTTGGTACCTCCCGTTTTCTTGTCTCTTTCTCTATGTTAGTTAATTTGTGGCTATTTAGTTAGCATCACTTTAAGCATATTATTAGAATACTTGTAGTTGCAACCTGTTATTTTCTAGTTTAGGTCTGTGTTAGTCTTTTCCGGAGTCTGTCGTAGGTATAGTGGCTGTGGTGTGGGATGGTAGAGTAAGGTCATGTCCTCGAGGGGTGCCGGAGGTGAGAATGAGGGTCAGAGGTTGGGACGAGAGGAAAGGAGGGTAAGGGGAAAGAGGGAGCTTGTAGATTGAGGATCGGGTCGTGGAACATAGGCACGCTGACGGGTAAGTCTATTGAGTTTGCAAAGATTCTCCAGAAGAGAAAGATTAATATAGCTTGTGTCCAGGAGACTAGGTGGGCAGCGTCAAAGGCAAGGAATGCGGATGAGTATAAGTTGTGGTACTCTGGAGTCGTGAGGGGTAAGAATGGAGTGGGTATCTTGGTGGATAGTGATCTTAGAGAGTCTGTGGTTGAGGTTAGGCGAGTGAATGATAGGCTAATGTTTATTAAGTCGGTGATTGGTGAGTGCACCCTCAATGTAGTTAGCGTTTACGTGCCGCAAGCGGGCTTGGATGAGGAGGTTAAGAGGCGCTTTTGAGATGGCTTGGACGATATTGTGCGTAGTATTCCACCTACTGAAAGGTTATTTATTGGAGGGGATTTTAATGGACATATTGGGGCGACTGCTGGTAGTTATGGCGAGGTGCATGGTGGCTTTGGCCTTGGGGATAGGAACGGAAGAGGTACTTCACTGTTAGACTTCGCTAAGGCTTTCGAGCTGGTGATTGCGAACTCGACTTTTTCGAGGAGGGAGGGGCATCTGGTCACTTTCCGAAGTTCGGCGGTGAAGACTCAGATCGATTACATTATCCTCAGAAGGTGTGATAGAGGGTTGTGCAAGGATTGCAAGGTTATCCCGGGAGAGATCCTCGCGACTCAACATAGGCTCTTAGTGATGGACATCGGCATTATGATGAAGAGGAAGAAGAGGTATGTTCGTGGATGACTGAGGATTAGACGGGGAGCTTTAACAAAGGATAAAGCCCAGGAGTTGGAGGGGAGGTTAGCCACTATGGGAGCTTGGAGGAGTAGTGGAGATGCGAGAGAGGTGCTAGGTGTATCGAAGAGTTTTTCTGGCAGGCACCAGGGAGACTGGTGGTGGAATGACATAGTCCAAGGTAAAGTGGAGGCGAAGAAGGTAGCATACGCGAAGTTGGCAGAGAGCACAAGCGATGAGGAGAGGAGAGAGAATAGAGAGAGGTACAAAGTGGCTAGGAAGGAGGCAAAACTGGCGGTCACGGAGGCTAAGAATGCAGCGTTTAGCCGTCTATACGAGGAATTAGGGGAGAAAGGCAGGGACAGGAAGTTGTTTTGGCTGGCTAAAGCGAGGAAGAGGAAGGCCCAGGATCTGGACCAAGTAAGGTGCATCAAAACGAGGATGGTAGAGTATTGATGGGAGAGTCCCAGATTAAGCGAAGATGGCAGGCATACTTTTATGGTCTTCTAAATGAGGAGAGGGATCGGGATATAACGCTAGGGGACTTGGGGCATTCGGAGAGTCTCCGAGATTCTAGGCATTGCAGGCGCATTAAGGTGTAGGAGGTCGTGGGGGCTTTTCGCAAGATGAGTAGGAGTAGAGCGACTGGGCCAGATGAAATTCCGGTTGAGTTTTGGAAGTGTGTGGGTAGAGCAGGATTGGAATGGTTGACTGGGTTGTTCAATGTAATTTTTAGGACGAAGAGGATGCCGGAGGAATGGAGGTCGAATACAGTGGTTCTGTTGTACAAAAACAAAGATGATATCCAGTGTTGTAACAATTATAGGGGTATCAAGTTACTTAGACATACCATGAAAGTTTGAGAGAGGGTGGTGGAGGTGAGGGTGAGGAAGACGACGTCTATATCCGACAATCAGTTTGGGTTCATGTCGGGCCGCTCCACTACGGAAGCTATCCACCTTATTAGGAGGTTGGTGGAACAGTACATGGATAAGAAGAAGGATCTGCACATGGTGTTTATTGACTTGGAGAAAGCGTATGACAAGATTCCTAGAGAGGTGCTCTGGAGATGTCTTGAGGCGAAGGGCGTGCCGGTAGCCTACATAAGAGTGATCAAGGACATGTATGATGGAGCTAAGACTAAGGTTAGGACTGTGGGAGGCGACTCGGAGCATTTCCCGGTTGTTATGGGTTTACACCAAGGCTCTGCGCTTAGCCCGTTCTTATTTGCCTTGGTGATGGATGCTTTGCCATACCATATTCAAAGGGAGGTGCCATGGTGTATGTTATTTGCTGATGTCATAGTTCTAATTGACGAGACGAGGGCCGGTGTTAACGAGAGATTGGAGGTTTGGAGACAGACTCTCGAGTGTAAAGGTTTCAAATTGAGCAGGTCTAAGACAGAGTACCTGGAGTAGAAGTTTAGCGCTGAGTCGAGGGAAGTAGACGGGGACGTGAGGCTTGGGTCACAGTTCATCCCCAAGAGAGATAGCTTCAAGTACCTTGGGTCGATGATTCAGGGGGACGGAGAGATCGACGAGGACGTCACTCACTGCATAGGGGCGGGCTGGATGAAATGGAGGCTTGCATCTAGAGTCTTGTGTGACAAGAAAGTGCCACCGATACTCAAAGGTAAGTTTTATAGAGTTGTGGTTNTGGATGAAATGGAGGCTTGCATCTAGAGTCTTGTGTGACAAGAAAGTGCCATCGATACTCAAATGTAAGTTTTATAGAGTTGTGGTTAGACCGACCATGTTGTATAGGGCAGAGTGTTGACCGGTTAAGAACTCCCATATCCAGAGGATGAAAGTAGTAGAGATGTGGATGTTGAGGTGGATGTGCGGGCACACTAAGACAGACACGATTAGAAATGAAGATATTCAGAAGAAGGTAGGCGTCGCCCCTGTGGATGACAAGATACGGGAAGCGAGGCTCAGATGGTTCGGGCACGTGCAGAGGAGAAACCTTGATGCACCGGTGAGGAGGTGTGAGTGGTTGGCAGTGGTGGGTACGAGAAGAGGTAGAGGGAGACCTAAGAAGTATTGGGGAGAGGTGATCAGCCAGAACATGGTACGACCGCAGATTTCCGAGGACATGGCCCTTGATAGGAAGGCCTGGAGATCAAGCATTAGGGTTGTAGAATAGGGGTAGTTGAGCTCTCCTTACTTCATATCGGGGGTGAGGCAGGGTTGGATTAGGGTTGATCTTAGATGGCTTGCAGTTTATGTTGAACACACATTATTCTTGCTGTTTATCTTAGCCGCGGGCCTTAGACTCTGGTTACTGTTATTGCATGTCATTCATCTTTTGGTTTTTATGCTTCTGTTACTATTACTGTTTCCACTGGAGTTACTAATGAATTCTCTTTTCTTGTTTTTTTTATTTCCGTCTTTCTGAGCCGGGGGTCTATCGGAAACAGCCTCTCTGCCCTATCGGGGCAAGGGTAAGGTCTGCATATACATTACCCTCCCCAGATCCCACTATGTGAGATTATACTGGGTAATTGTTGTTGTTGATCATAGCGCCGATCTCCCCAAGGTCTGATATTCTAGAAGTGTATGTCTATTCTATATGAGGAGTTAAAGCTTTTTAAATATACAAGGGAAATGTCATAGGTATGCTAGTGGAGATAAGAAGGATTTGAGGGGGGTGGGTTGGGACTTGGGGAAGCTCATATAGGACTGTGTATAGACACATAATGGCCAAAAAATAGAGTGCATGTACGTACTCAAGTTCATGCATGATGCCTAATTTTGTCACTAAGTTCAGAAAAACAATAACATGAAGGCATCTTTGACCTATTTAATTTATTCTTCCATATCCCTCCCACTTCTGATGGCCTTCCTCACCAACACACATGCAAATGCCCATGCCTTGGATAATGAAGTTGAAAAATAGCCATATATGCAAAAGGATCAAGCACAACATAAAACCAATACAGCATAATAAAATTTTAATCCAAGATAAAACATGCAGTCCACATGCCTGAACCAAGTTCCTATCAGGTGGGTCATAGAACCTTGTCTAGTGCCTTTATTTATACATAAATTTATACTCCGCATTGAAAGTAATGAGTTCAGTAATGAGTTCAGATGAACCCGGTGACCTTTTATTTTTCTCTTCTAACAAGACAGTAGCGATTCTAACAGAGCAACGTTTGTTATGGTGTTTCGGTATGTCCAAGGAGACACTCTTGGAACCAAATTTAGGCACTCTCATCTAGAATAGCTTTTCCAATGAGCTTGACTGGAGTTGCCCAATTCTTCCATTGTAATGTAATAACATAATGACCTGAAAGCAAGGGACTCCTAACCACCTAACGTATACATAAAGATCAAAATCAAATCCTACATGGAAATCACCACAGTATGAGTATCCAGATCCAAGTTGGAGACAAACAGATGGGGGTTCATCATCAAATTATTGTCAACTTTACATTTTGTGAACACAATTTCTTTCAATCAATGGAGCATTCATTTTCTTCAAATCAACTAGGATATAACGTTGCCAAAAACAAAGCTGATAATATTTTGCGAGGTTATGAAAATAAATGTCCATAACCAGAAAGGGACATAAGCAAAAGTGCAACAACCTGCTTCATTAAAGTCCCAAAAGTATGTATAGTCTCATCTATGAAGTATTTTGGTATATTCGTAAATGCATATCATACAAGTAAACATTTCAAATCAGCCTTTTGAGCATTCTTCACCCAAAATTTTCAATTGGCAACAGATTTTCTGCTAAAGCAAATCTTACTGCATGAATCTAGTGCACTATAGCTTAGAAATGGAGCTATTCTCAAGTCATTTCGTAACTACTTCAGTTTTAGGGACAGCTTAGATAAATTCAGATCAGTTGTTAAGCTCAATAAAATGTTGAAAGGGCACACCTGGCGGTCAAATCCTGTATAGCTTAAAGATTATGTAAAGAAAAAAGAAGATATATTTTCTATACCAATTTGATTTCAGTGTTTGTATGTAACATCTGTCTGCTGGAATCTTCAGGGGTGAACAGCAGTTATGTCCTGAGAAATTTCGTTCGTTTGCTTAGCATTAGGTTGTTGAATGAAGCCATGCCTTATTATGCTCCACTACAAAGGCAGTTTTAACATCATCGCATGATTCTGCTTGCCTGTAGGACCCTTTGAAGCTCATCAGCAATTTCAGGCAGTAGCACCGGTTTACGAATAATTCCATTCATTCCAATCTGCAGGCATCTTCCACTAACATCTTCATCAGCAGATGCAAAACCAACGATCAACGGCCAGCTGCGGCTACGAAACTTCCGAATTCTCATGGTTACTTCAAAGCCGTCTAAATCAGGCAGGTGAAGATCCAAAAGGACAATTTGGAATGAAGATACAGCAGGGGCCAGAGCACCAAGACAGTCGTGTCCCGATGAAACTGCAGAAACAACGCATCCTAATTTTTCAAGTAGCTTCCTTGTTACAGCTCTATTCACATCATCATAATCTGCTAAGAGAACATTAACCCCCTGGAGGAGTGAGTGTGGATGCGAGTGATCAGAAGATTCTCCATATTCAGGAATGCCTATGGCAATTGATGGCCGCAGTTGAAACCCAAGAATGACGGTCATGCTTTGATCAAAACCTTCTGGATTTGGGACTACCCAGATGTCTCCTTGCATCAACTGCGCATTATTTTCACACATCAGAGGGATGTTAGTTCAACCCCAAATTAACTGCACATATATGCACTCGAAATTGTTATGAAAGGGAAAGAAAATACATAATTTGATGCAAAAGGTCTCATCCAACTCGAAAAATTTTAAATGAGCCTGCACCAATGTCATTTTTCCCTAGAAATGACAACTTTACTTGCTTCTCATAGTTGAATGTCTAATGTTACCACAGAAGAAAGAGCTTAAAACCAAATGAGTTGGGTGCATAAATTCCAGTTATATGACACATATACAGATGTTGCTATTTAGCAATAGAGTACCTGAACCAGCTTTCTGCACACAGTGAAGCTCAACCTTTCCTCCACTTCCCTACTGCGGCGTGTTTCACAACATTGTGGCAATGTGGATGCTATGCCCTCTGGATGAGAATGATTATTGCTTGATCCAACTTCAAACCTGATATAGACATTTTCAAGAGATGAGTGTGACCTCCTTGTCTTCCAAGCTCCGTCGATGCCTTCCCTTCTTGCACTTTCTGGGAGAACTCTAAATGTAAGATAACCTCCATTGGGGTCCTTCAAAAGATTCCCAACCATATGAAGAATAACTTGAAAAACTCTTCTTTCATCGCCCATGACATGATTTGGCAAAGATTTGTCAACCTCGATGGAAATATTGTAACCCCTATGAGCACACAAACACTTGGCAAGACAAGCAGCTTCTTTTATCATGGAATGTAGCTGAAAATGCCTCATCTCCAGAGGGAATCTACTATTGTCCTTTGTCGAAGTATCCATCACATCATTTATAAGGGTTGACACAACATTGCTGGTTTTAGTCATTGCATCCACAAGAAGCCGCTGCTCATTACCCAAGTTATCATCTTGCATCAAGGAGAGAAGACCCAATATTGAGTGCATGGGTCTTCTCAGACCATGGCTCATAACCATCTGAAATGCATTCCTTGCTTGACTCGCCCTAAGTGCATCCTGCTTTGCTTGTTGCAGAGCTCGATTTTGCTCCTCCAATGTTTCTCTCATATGCTGAGACTCTTCAAGAACTGCAGCATGGGACAGAGCCACAGCAACCTGATTAGCCACGACCCTGACTATCTCAATTTCCTGGTTGCTCCAAGATCTACCTTGTTCACTAGGAAGAACCAACACCAGTATGGCATAGCATTCTGGGACAAGTTCAGGAGTTCCACCTTTGAAGTTCGACACCTTCAGCATCGGCATCCTAACAGCAGCCACAGCTCCTGGTTCACTACTCCCTCCACTACTCGCAGCAGCAAGTGGGGAGTCGGCATCAAGTAACTTTACTCCATCACTCCCCTTAATCTCCCTTACATCTGGATCACTTGTCGGAATAGGCATATTATACATATTAGAAAAGCTTCTTCCTTTCAGCTCATGAATCAGGTTCATCTCAGTTTTATTCTCATTGGGCTTCCAAATAGCACAATTATGCAAATCCAGTGTCTTCGCTAACTCCACCAGAGTTGTATATAGTATTGTATGACGATCAAGTGACTTTCGAATCTCCTGCGTAAGCATCCGGACATGCCATCCAGCTTCCTTTTGCTGCTTTATTAATCCAACCTCTCGACCAAGATCCCAAGTCTTCTTCTTTAACATAAACTCCCTCACTTTGATTTTGAGCAGCATAGGAAAGAGGGTGATAAGGGTTATAGCAGTGGCAAAGGATACGAGTGCAGTGAGGACTTTAAAAATGGTTAGAGCAAGCATAAGCTGAAATGGGTGTTGGCCATAGTAAGTCCAGAAATTGAGCAAATGAGTCATCCCACACAGAACAATGAATGCAATAAATTGGAAGAGCACCCATTTGAATGGAAAGTTAGAACAGCTTACGAAGTAAAGGAGCTCAATTGGGATAGAAAAATAGGCTATCGCAATAAATAAATCACTGATTCTTTGGCACTCTAAGATACGCTCAATGCTCCAAAATCCTTCATCATCACAGTTACAACGAGGGAAACCATTATCAGCAGCCGATAAGGAAACAAGGAATGACAAAATTAACAAAGCTGATGCTAATGTCCTTAACATTGCATCCAATTTGACCAAGTCTTCAGCTCATTTACTGGATAGACTATATATCTTCTACTTCAGCAGCGATGCCAGCTTCATCTGCAATTATAGACCTGACAAATCCAACCACATATGCATGAAACAACTTGTTATGTTCATTTCCAGTTCAACAATGTGACCAGGAACATGAAAACACCTTTTCTAGAGCAAAGGAAAACGAAGCGGCATGGCATCAATATAAAATTCCAGAGATAGATTCAAGTGCATGCACCAACACCCACTTGCAATAACATATGTTGCTTAATTTCCAAACAGCACAGACTCAAAGACAAACTAGCCCTACAATTTAAAAAGGAAATTTTCTTGCATAATTGTTACTTCAACATAACTAGTGTAGTAATTTTTTAATGACACGTGCTGCTTGTGCGCAACTCGACTATTCCACGATACTAGATATTATATTGATCGCAAAATTGTTACTTCAGAATTACTATTATATCAATCGCAAATACAGATTCAGACTCATAAGTCCACCAGAACAAGTAAGAGATTACTAAAAGGAACAATAATTAAATAAGCATAAAATTCAAGTAAAACTTGAAAACGTAAAAAATAAAAATAAATAAAAATTTACCTGGAATAAAAACAAACACATGTTTATTATAGAGCAAAATCCAGAGCAAGCCAATCCAATAAAGAGATCTTATGGTTCACCCACATGCAGACCCCCAATAAAAATAAATACGCAAATTTAGGGGGTATCATCTTCTTCTTATCCGAAACTCCATCAATACCAATGCTTCCCCCAAGCCTGCACTGGTATCCTCAACAACTCAATGGTCCAAATACACCATATCTACTCATAACTTTACCATAACCCAATTATGGTAAACGGGTACCACATTACAACCCATTTAACTGTTCCGGGCTCCAAATTCAGAACTCCGTCGCTGGCACCACCATAAAACTGGCAGTGATGAAGGGGCAAAACTGGATTTTCGCTTCAGCACTTTCCTTGAAGAATTTTTATTCGTACTAGCTACGTACACTTTTGTTTAAGCAAATGAAACTTCTATAAATTGTAGAGAGAAAGAGAGTGACATTGCAAGCACTATATGTATAGAGAGAGGAGAGAGAGAAGTAAGAGGTATTTTGGCGCCGTTGTTTGTTGAGTAGGACTGTAGGGGAGAAGAAAATGGAAGCAAAGTGAGGAGGAGAATCTAAAAGGAGGGGGGGTGGAGTAGAGTGGGGCCCACAGTCCTTACATGAAGAGAACTTAGACGCACTTTTGCCCAATAAAGTAGTCCTTTTCCACAATGGATCTAATATTAGACTCCATTATTTTATTTTTCAAAATCTATTACACACACTCTCTCTCTTCTCTGTATCTTTCTCTAGAGAGGAATGTAATAGCCCACGTGCCAATGGAGTAGATTAAACGCGCTAGCGGAGGAGCGTGAATGATATTCATACGGAAAAGCATCGCAAACCTACTGGTTGGCCGGACGTACACAGCCCCATGGAAAACGGGCAAAGCTAAGATGGGTCAAAATATTTCATATAAACACTTTAATTGAGAAGGGACCTATTAAAATAAGTTTTCTACCATTTCAATTTTTATATATATAATTTTTAGTGAAATATAATCTCTAACAAGATTATAATACTCTTAGTGAAAAGAAGTACATGAGTAAACCCAAATCCAAATAATTATTAGTGATATATAACCATTAACTGGTTTAATCGAGCCCGAGCTAGTTATATAAAATTACGTATAAGTTGTCTAATTATATTCTAGTTAATTTTTTCACTTGATTTGAATTGTTTCTTCTTCGTTTTTCATTTTCATTTTAACCGTTGAAGAAAATACTTTAGTTCGATGTTGCAGTGTATGCTAAAAGAATTAAATTTAAAATTCAAAACAAAAAATGTGATGCACATGATCAGTGACCCATATTTACTGTGGGAGAATCGTGAGACAATTGCGCGTGGTTGTCACAAGTTAGAGGGGTCAAATTCTAGTTGGGAATAAAATAAAGAAAGAAATGTCTAAGAATCCAAATTATATTCAAGATGGAGAGATCAGTTTTACTTTTTGAAATCATAGTTATATTTGAACGCACTCTTTCTCTTTATAGTAGTAGTTAGCATATATTTATCGATTCATTCTAAAGAGAACGTTCTTCTTTACTTTCACAACTCTAAAGCATCACGTGATTAGTTAATTTTATTTTTATAAATTACATGAGTTTACAAAAGGACGAGAGAAAAATATTGTGCATGCTTAGTTTGTGCTTGTGCTTGTGCTTATTCTTTATCTTGTTGATATTACGCGACAGTTTTTTCCGGCTCAATATTAAATCAAATTAAATATATTTGATTTTTTACCAATTTTATTCGGGTTTTTTTTATTTGATTCGATTTTTGATTTAGTTTGAACATACTTACTTTCAGCTACTTTTAATAAGGTAAGCCAAACAAATCTAAGAAATTATTTTTTTAAAAAAATTTGTGGTTTAAACATACGATGATAATTGTATGTTTATAAATTATATTATGAAGAATAATATAAAATATTTAAAAGTAAATTATTTTTAAATATAAAAATAAATTAATAGAAATAATGTCACATAAAATTTAATTGAGGGAGTAATATACAGTTGTAAACACTGTTCTTTAACTCTAGTTCTGCTCATTGCGATCCATTACCACAATTCAATAAGATTCTGTCCTTTCCCTTTTGTTGTTTCCATTTAATAAAAGATGCAGTTCAAATGGAAGTCATCAAACATGTTTTTAAGATAATGTCCTTATCTTTTTACAATCACATCTTTATCTTTAGGAATAAAACGTGACATTTTTCCAATTCCGCTCAAATACTTTGACAAAACAAAGTCCAACAGAAAATAGTGTCTCCAAATAAATATCTTCTTGGTTTGATTTTAAATGAAACGGAAAAGGGCCAAAAATGTCGTTGAACTATTCGAAATAGCTCAAAAATATCCTTCGTTTGTTTTTGGTGCCAAAAATATCTCTGCCGTCTATGTTTTGGACCACAAATGCCCCTAAACCGTTAGTCTTGCCATTGAAGCTAACATGACAGTCCAACTAGGTTACATGGCCATCCACCTAAGCAATCCAGCATGGCAAAATTATTTTTCCGAATTTTTTTATTAAAATACAAAATTAAAATTTATTCCCAAAAAAGTAAAAAATATTCGGAAAAATGATTTATTTTGGAATTTTTTTATTAAAATAAAAAATGAACACTTATTCCAAAAATAGTAAAAGAATTTCGGAAAATTATTTATTTATTAAAATATTATATATAATATACAAAATAAATTATTTTGGGGCGTGCTTTAATATATTTTTCCGAAATTCTTTTACTTTTTTTGAAATAAGTGTTCGACCGTGAAAATTTAAATTTCACTTAAAGTTAATTTTCGGAATTTTTGAAAATTTCAAAACTCCAAAAATTATAAGAACTTCAGATGAACCAATTGATACTTACAGTAGAGGTGTGCCTTTTGTGAAGCTATAACTGATAAGTATCTAAAAATTTAGATAAAACTAATCATAAATTCACAAAAGAAAACAATTGAGTTTTTAAATCAAATCATAAAGCCCAATCAAGAATAATTTTTTCAGAATTTTTTTACTATTTTCGGAATAAGTGTTGATTTTGTATTTTAATAAAAAAAATCCGAAATAAATAATTTTTCTGAATATTTTTTACTTTTTTCGGAATAAATGTTGATTTTGTATTTTAATAAAAATTTCCGGAAAAATAGTTTTTCCGAAAAAATAGTTTTGCCATGCTAGATTAGGTGGATGACCATGTAAGCAAATCTAACTTAGTTGGACTGTCATGTCGGCTTCAATAGCAAGACTAACTGTTTAGGGGCATTTGTGGTCCAAAACATAAACGGCAGGGATATTTTTGGCACCGAAAACAAAGGGAGAATATTTTTGAGTTATTTCAAATAGTTCAAGGACATTTTTGGCCCTTTTCCATAAATGAAATACTCTATCCTTTTTCTTCCTTTTCCTCTTTATGAGGGAATTTCGGACCCCAAAGGTTTGGTGTTTGAACAATTTACATCATGGAGCTTTATTGTGTACTAATCTACTCCCTAAACCTTTTATGCCAAGCATTTTCTGGCAAAGTGAGTTAGTAAAATGTCAGATATGCCCCTACCTTGAAAAATCCAAGAATTTTTTTAATTTAATTCTCTACTGAAGGCAGAAACATATATGGAAACTCTCGCCCGAAAAATTTATATGACTTAGTGTTGGCAAAATGGATAAAATAACAGTTAATTATTCATATTATCCACTAAAAAATAGGTTGAATAATGAAGTATTTAAAAATTGGTCAAATATAGAAAATATTCATATTATCTATTTATTTATATCTATATCTATATTATTATAAAAGCATGAATACAATGTCGGTTTGCAAAAATAACCTTATAATATTAAGCATAATAACTCATAATAAAAGGACATAACCGGAATTCTTGATATTAGAATTATAATCCTATTAGTTTTAGGACATAATACTACACGTTAGGAATCCTACATGATTACCTTTAGGAATCCTATTAGTATAATTATTTTCGGGCTGTCTAATTCATATAAAATTGAACAAGTAATATCTTTAGTCATGTAATTATTACTTATAGGATATACTTCTTAAAAATGTCATATTACTAATTTAATTTGAGAATGTAATATATTGTCCAAGTCTAGTTAGAAAAAGAAGAGACTATTATTATTAAAGTATAAATACAATATTACTATACCAAAATAGCCTTAAATATTAAGCAAAAGAATTCACAAGGAAAGGACATAACCGCGGTAACCTCTTTTTTTTGGACTACAACACATTCTATGCTAATTTTTAATATTTAAAATTTTAAAATCAATAAAATTTTATCTATTAAATTCTTATTAAAAATATGTAGGAATATTTAATAAAATTAATTTCATAAGAATCCTCCATATTTGGCAATACAATACCACTCCATAATGTCCAATACTAAGAAAAAACAAAAATAATATTAAATAGATTGCATAAAGAGTTGAAATTGAGAAAAAAATACCCCCATGTTTTCCTACTCAAATAATATTTTTTTAATTAATGTTTCGTGTAATATTAAAAAATACTCAATTATTAAACAACAACTAAGAAAATATTTAAGAATATAAATGAGTGAGAAACAGAAAAAATAATAATTGGTAAGAGTCAATACCACTAATGATTCTACAAACATAACGATCTAAAAGTAAAATGTCATATCAATCTTTTACTCTTTGGAAATAAAATTTATGGTGGATAAAATTATAATTACAAGAGATGCACTACTATTAAGATCTGAAACAATATAGAATATAGTATTTTTTGTGTTAAAACTAAATAATTAAAAAATTTAGTTAATTATTTAGCAAGAGAATCCAATTCAATTATTTTTACATGTCATCATATGAGTAAAATTCTTATTCAAGTTAAAAAAATCTTAGGGTACATAAATTTATTACATAAAAAGAGCGTTAGAACACGAAGTAAAAAGGTTAGTATATTATTAAGAATCACAATGCTATACAAGTGTATGAGGAAGCACAATCAAAGCCAAATCCTAATCAAGAACAAGCTTTCAAGACTATATTATAAAGAATCGACTCTGGTATAACAAAATTATTTTTTGTAGATGCCTCCGGCAAAGTCGAAATAATATTTCTATGTCATGCAATACTTGCAAATATCATATCAAGATCCATGACACTGTTAGCAGTAATAGTAAGTGGTGTACCAACAACGATTTTATTGTGAGGCCACCCACTTTAGATTTGATATACCTCTTCAAACAACTTTAATAACCATCACAAATATATCAAAGCAGAGCAATAGTACTAAATTTATAAGGAAAGTTAAAGTGATAATATGGGATGAAATACTTATGGCTAAGTGTCAAACGATCGAAATAATTTCCCGGAGTTCTAGAGATATATTGGATATTAAAGAACCGTTTAATAAAAAATTAATGGTTTGGGAGGTGATTTATGTCAAGTACTACAAGTAGTTCCAAAATCAACAAAGTAAAGACTATAAAAGCTAACTTGTCAAAGTTATACTTCTGGCCTCAAATGCAAAAGATTCAACTCACAAGAAATATAAAGTA